ATAACAACTGTTTTTGTGCAAGAGTTCTAACATGTCTAGAAGTTTTTAAAAGTGCTCACACGGTCTTAAGCAGCTTTTAATACCTTGCTCTCTGCTAATTTCTATCTTTTTTTAAGCTTTTTAAATTTTTATTGGAAAGTCAGATATACAGAGATGAGGAGAGACAGAGAGGAAGATCTTCCATCTGTTGATTCATTCCCCAGGTGGCTGCAACAGCTGGAGCTGAGCCAATCTGAAGCCAGGAGCCAGGAGCTTCTTCAGGGTCTCCCATATGGGTGCAGCATCCCAAGGTTTTGGGCTGTCCTCAACTTCTTTCCCAGGCCACAAGCAGGGAGCTGGATGGGAAGTGGGGCTGCTGAGATTAGAAATGGAGCCCATATGGGATCCCGGCGCATGCAAGTCGAGGACATCAGCCACTAGGCTACCGCACCGGGCCCCTCTCTGCTAATTTCTTCAACAAATTCGTTGGCAAATTTCAAACCAGTTTTTTCAGAATCAGCTAGTAAATCTGAGTAATGAATTATAAATCTACAGCTTTCAATGCCTGAATTGAGATTCAACACCAAAGACAATCAATGGTGTATCCTCGTAACATGAAGACAAATCTGTTCAAAATCCTATGCTGAAGATTCAAAAGGCATATGAACAAATGGAATTAAAAGACTGGTGCACAGGGATGAAGGGAATTTTCAAAATCCATGCCTAGTGTTTTTCATAGTATGCATTCTGCATGAACTTTTAGAAGACACGCTCAGGTAAACCCACACTGATTTTCAAAGTAAGGGAACAAACAAACAAAAAAAGGGCACCGGACACTGACTGCTTGCAAAGCATTTACAGAAACACAAAGGCCTCCTGCATTTCGGAAACAGACTACAGACCTGCAGAGCTTCAACACGTGTCACAGGCAGCATCCTGGGACTCTCCACAGCACGTCCCACCGAGGGTGGCGCAGGGTCCCCCGCTGCCAGCCTAGCACGGTGAGCTCCCATCACAAAGCAGCACTTCTCCCTTGGCATGAAGGGCACCCAGCCCTTGGGTTCCCCAAGGAGGACCTCTCCTTAGGAGAAGTCAGCCCCGTCACACCCAGGCTTCTCCAAGTTTCTGGCTAGCCAGGGGGGCCTGGGGGTGGCTGCACAGCAGTGGGGTCCCTGGACACCTTCTCCGTGACTCATGGTGAGTCACCAGGTGGCAGAGACAGCACCCTGCCGTTCGGTGGTGGGAGAAGCGAGGTATGCATCTCCAGGGCCACTTCCCACTGGAGCCCAGCGACGGCCCAGCGACGGCCCAGCGACAGCCCAGCGACAGCCCAGCCAGAGCCCAGCGACAGCCCAGCGACAGCCCAGCCAGAGCCCAGCCAGAGCCCAGCGACAGCCCAGCGACAGCCCAGCCAGAGCCCAGCCAGAGCCCAGCCAGAGCCCAGTGACAGCCCAGCGACAGCCCAGCCAGAGCCCAGCCAGAGCCCAGCGACAGCCCAGCCAGAGCCCAGCCAGAGCCCAGCCAGAGCCCAGCCAGAGCCCAGCCAGAGCCCTGCCGCCTCCAGCTCTCCCACCCTCCGCGGCTGCCGTGGCTGCCTTACATAACCACCACACACAGGGCTTGGTGTTCTATGCGGCAAGCGCTCTATGCCTTGCCAAGGTTCCCTTACAAATTTGTTATTCGTTTCCCTTTTTTTCTTTATTTCCGCTGTCACCTTACTGGTGATGAATATACAAGAAAACTCAAGGAAACTTAGGGGAGGGGTGGGAGAAAAGGATTCTTTCATAATCTGGTAAACTGCCCTGCTCATGAAATGCAACACAATAGAATTTTCTTCTAAGATTTATTTATTTTCCTTGGAAAGTCAGATTTACAGAGAGAAAGAGAGACAGAGAGAAAGATCTTTCACTCTCTGATTAACTCCCCAGATGGCCACAATAGCCCGAGCTGAGCCAATCTGAAGCCAGAAGCCAAGAGCTTCTCCCGGGTCTCCCACGTAGATACAGGGTACCAAGGCTTTGGGCTGTCCTCTGCTGTTTTCTCAGGCCACAGGAAGGGAGTTAGAAAGGAATTAGAGCAGCCAGGACATGAACTGGCACCATATTGGTGTTTGAAGGTGGAGGATGAGTCAGTTGAGCCATTGTGCCAGCCCCACACACATTAGAATTTTCAAAATTATGTCAGAGTTATCCTGGCTTCTGGAACATACCCACTTGTGTATGTTAAGGCACACAGAACAGCACTCAGTGGGGAAGGTTGGGCCCAGGGTTCCTGCACAACTTTGGGACACAATTTCAATTGCTACAGTGGGGGGTGTGGAGTACAGCTGCCGGGCCCAGCCAGTAGAGGCCACAGGTGCTGCTAAGCATCCCACAGCAGAACTTCCTTCACCCTCACAACACAATGCTGCCTTTCTTTCCAACCTCAGGCTTACCAAAGTCCTGAAAACCCCAGCACAACCAAAAAGACTCCAGTGCCCTCAAAATCCAGTTCATACTGCCCATAAACACGGTGACACCAACAGAGATGGCATTATTTCCGCAAACCAGTAGAGAAGATGCAACTTTTTTTTCAAAGCACAGAAATAGTCAGTGTCAGGTTCCCAGCTTGGCTTGACATGATTCCAGTGTTTACAGGGTCCCTGGGGATGCTGGACATGTAATTACACAGACTTCGCACAATAAACAGCAATCTGGGTCCTAATGGGAGCTCTGACACACGCCGCCTAATTTCAGCATCAGCACATATTAACCTCAGAAACATCAACAGTGGAAGGCAACTTCTCAATTACAGAGGAAATATTCGCTGGACAAGAAATATAGACAATATAGAGGGAAAATCAGGAAAGACAAAATTAGTACAGTTACAATGAACTTGGTGTGACAGGCACACAGATCTGTGGTGAAGTGCAGGTTGCACTCCATTAACAGGAAACCAATTTGCCAGTTTATAGGCCTGGAGGTCGACTCGAGGGGTTCTTTCAACAGGAATAACACTCTACTATGGGCGTGAGTGGTCTATATAAAGACAAGCCCCGAGCCACAGAGGTAGCTTTCTGTTTCCACATTCTCAGCAGTGTTTGCCATCAAGAGGCAAGGGGTTGGGGATGGGATCTGTACAGGTCCCGGAGAGGGAAGAGAATGGACTCTCCCTTGTCCAACGTCTCCACTTGGAGGTCTGCAGTCGGGAACTTGTACAGTGCAGCAAACACACCATGTCACGTGCAATGAACAGTACTGCTAGTGACATCTGCTTAACACACAAGAGCCTTCTCTCCGACATTTTTTTTTTTAACGTTAATCATTTGAACTTAGGTGAGGTGTCAGGTCACTGCAATTTTGACCTACATTTCCCCGACAATTACAAAACTACTAAAACACAGAGGAAAATGCTATAGTTGTTGAGTTCCTTTTAAATCCTAGATAATGTCTCCTTGTCAGATTTATAGTTGGCAGATACTCTGCCTCATTAAGCTATTTCTTTATCCTGTGGCGGTTTTCCTGGATGCGCAGGTGCTTTTTAGTTGGATGTAATCTCAGTTGTCCATGGTACTTTCATTGCCTGTGCTTTGGAGGTTTCATCTGGAGAATCCTTGTCCAGACCGGACTATATAAATCTGACCAGGAGACATTCTCTAGGATTTATAAGGAACTCAACAACTTGGGAAAGAAAAAAAAGTCCAAAATCCAATTTAAAAATAGGCCAAAGACCCAAATACACATAGAGGACACTTTTTTTAACAATTAGTTTTGTCTTCATTTTTTTTACAGGGTACACAGTGATTTTGTGATACATGTATACAGTATGGAATGACTGAATCAAGTTAATTAATATCATCACCTTGAACATTCATCACATACCTCTCTTGTCTCACTGTAACTTTGAACGCAACAAATAGAATGATATAGTTATAATACCGCAGATTTTAAAAGGGATTGCTATATTACTATGAAATTATTGAGCTATAGGATGTGTCTGTGTTGTATAACACTACCTAAATTGCTTTCTTAAAAATCACCAAGGGTGAACATGTAGGCTACCAGCTTGGACGCCACATGAGAGAGTCCACTTCCTCTCCTGGAGTGTCTGGGTTCCAGCCCCAAGGTCACGCCTGATTCCAGCTTCCCGCTGAGGCACACACCCTGGAGGCAGAGGTGCTGACTGGGGTGTTGGAGTCCCTGCCACTCAGGCTCAGGGCCTGCAGCTCTGGCCTGACCCATTCCTGGCTGCTGGAGACATCTGGGGAGGACTTCAGCAAAGGAGAGTGGTTCCCCTACGGGCAGAGGAGACCAGCAAGGAGTGCATTCGCACTGGCCGGCTCTCAGTCTCTGCTTCGGAAGTAAAGAAATTGTTCAAATCCAGGCCAGGATCCAGAGGTTTTGTCTACATCACAACAAACTATATTGAGTTTCTAAATGTTTCACTGTTGTATTCACAGGAAGCCATCCTTTACTCATGGGACATGAGCAGGAATGGGTAATGAACATGGTGAACAAGAATGAATATTTCCAAAAACTGGTGCTCAGTGAAGGACAAGATGCTTTTCCCACTGCACACCCCAGAACATCAGAAAAAAGTCAGTTATCTACATTCTTGATGTTTCTATCTGCTCCTCAACGTTAGAATTCAAATGACTCCAACCTGAAAGAGTGGTCTTATTGTCCAATTTAAACATTGTGCCATATTTACACTACTGTTTCCTAAGTTCTGGGCATGTCTGGTAACTAGACCACACCACCCATATCTCACACCCTGATTACTCTCACTACTTGACATCAAATGGCCTGCATGTTGTCAGAAATCTCCCCGATACCCATTACTAGACATCTTTAATCTAAGCCACATCATCTCTCACCTCTCATCTCTGATCTACAGCCCAGAGACCCAATCTCAATCTCTCTCTCTGTGTGTCTCTCTCTCTCTCTCATTAGTTTTTAAATTTGCTGCTACATTTTCAATTTGTTCCTACAAAGCACACCAAGCCAAATGTTTGTGATTGGGAGGGGGACAATTCTACTCACCACGTTTTTGCCTTCATTTTGGGCATCTCGATAATCAGGATTCAGCTAGGAAGAGAAAAAAAAACACAACTAGATTTGAATTGCTAGTAAAAGCACACTAACCAAACCAGTGATCTGTAATTCACCTCACTACTTCATTAATTTTAATGTAAAAACAAACTATCATAGGAAACATTCATTAGAAGGACAATTTAAAACATTAGTATCAGGGCCCAGCATGGCAGCCTAGCAGCTAAAATCCTTGCCTTGCACACGCCAGGATCCCATATGGGCGCTGGTTCTAATCCTGGCGACGCCACTAACCATCCAGTTCCCTGCATGTGGCCTGGAAAAGAAGTTGGGGACGGCCCAAGGTCATGGGACCCTGCACCTGCATATGGAAGACCCTGAAGAAACTCCTGGCTCCTGGCTTCAGAATGGCTCAGCTCTAGCTGTTGCAGCCACTTGGGGAGTGAATCAGTGGATAGAAGATCTTCCTCTCTGTCTCTCCTTTCTGTATATCTGACTTCACAATAAAAATAAGTAAGTCTTTTTTAAACAATTAACATCAAACCCTTGTGACAGTAAACAAGAGCTTATGATGCCAAATGGAAGGTCTTGATGTGGGTTAGTAATGCTGGCATCCTTGCTGAAGTGAGAGCTGACAATCTCATCTCCTCTGGGGAAGCGTTCTAGAGCTCTCACCATTGTACACATTCAACAGTGTACTCAGAGACCAGTTTTTAAAAGCAGACCACAGGAAAGTTTTAACAATGATTCAAGGCCCTGAATGACATGCCATACACACACACACACACACTCACACACTCACACACATAAGGAAGCAAGGTGAAAGAGCAAATTTGTATCAAAAGTGCTGCTTAACACAGGCTGACCTTTGAAACTAACACCTTAAAAGAAAAAGCTTGGACATGGCGTTTAGGGGTCATTCTAATGAGAAAAATCAAAGTGTATTTAGTGTTGACTCAAGCACCAACTGATCAGAATCCCTAACCCCGGCGCCTTTTGTCCACGAGGGTTAGACCTCAAGATAGCCAGGCTGACCGCTTGCAAAGCAACAGAATTAAAGGTTATTTTCCTTTAACCACTTGAACAAAAGTCAAGTGACGAGTAAGATTTACAATCTCATTTTGAATTACATTAAATGGAAGGCAAAAGAGTCTTTCTTAAGATGACATTCGGTTAATAGCTATAGGAAATGCTGTCCCCAGTGTATCACTGAATACTAATGAATGTACTGACAAAAAAAAAAAAAAGGCAAAATGAAACAAGCACTCTAAATCTCCAAAGAGTTGACAGTAATTCTATGAGGAGTCCTGCAAAAATTCACAGAAAATGCATACACCTACTTAATTCATTTTTAATGCCATTTCCCCTCCCATCTGAAGTATCCTAAAGCAGGTTGTTGTTGCTGAGGGGCAGGAACAACCCAGCTTTTCTCGTCTGTACTCAGAGCTCACTGCAAGCCAGTGACCACAAAGTCAAGAAGACACCTGCTGTGTTTCCCAGTGCCTGTGCACTGATAGAGGGCTGAGAATTTATCATATGGAAGGGCTTTGCCATGACTAAGAAGGTATTGTCAAACGACAGAAAATTGCCTAATCAGCCCACCTCATCCACTGTCCTGCCACCCACCAGTCGCTATCATCTTACCACCACAGAGTCCATGACGCTCAAAAGAAGCCGGGCAAAAGTATGGGGAAAGCTGATGACAACAGGAGTCATTCTGAGATGGGGAGAAGAGAGAAAGAAGCCTGCACGCTGCTTGTACGAACCGTGTTGTCTGAGAACAATACAGAGACAGCCAAGGAGAAGGATGCTCAGATGACATCCACCAACGAGGAAGCGCACTGGAAATGAACCCCGCTGTCTGCCCTGCAGCTGGGCACAGAGGCAGAGGACTGCCATGCCACAGAACGACGGACACAGCACTCAGCACTTCTGCCTCTGCGCGGAGCTCATCTGTCTGAGGACACGAGGGAGGAAAAGAGGGAAGAACGGAGGGGAACAGAAAATGTAATTTCCTGAAATGTTTTCAAGAAAAGTAAATAAAACTTCTATTTAAAGGCAACATGTACAACTAAAAGAATAACACGAAAATTACAATAATATAAATGATAAAGTAATCATAAAAGATTTACATATGTCAAGGAGGATTTCAATCAAAATAAAAGCATACCTTAAAAAGTCCATTTTTGCAGCAAAAAAAAAAAAATCCAGTTGCTAATACAGAAAATGAGTGATGCAGAAGACACGACATTTAAACCTGTCCCTGAAGACAGCGGAAAAATGTACTCATACACAAGTGGAATTCTGAAAAAAAAGCCAATTGTCAGGGAGAACAGAAGAAGGGACTGCCAGCTGATGGGCAACTTGGGAACTGTAAAGGCAAGGAGTAAGTGAAACACAAGCTATAAAATCTAATAGAAAGTTAAAGTTTCCCCAGGTGCAGAAAGAACTGCGCATGCCCAGGTTATCCCAGTCCAGCAAAATCAACTAAACAGACTAACACAGCTGTTCAAGGATGATAACAGAGAACTGAAAGGAAAGAAGTGACAGGGATGCCAGAAATGACCTGCTATGATCATGACTGGGTAAAAATGGATAGCATGCAACAGAGACTGGATAACCAAAGTGGCTCACACAATGGCGTCCAACCTACTGACACCTGCAACCACAGAATCAACCTCAGAAACAGGAAGAAGAAAACAAATACAAGGCATGATTTCATCCATATTAAACATAAGAACAAAGTAACTCAACTGTGGAGAGACAAGCTAGAGACTTACTCAGTGTGTTCAGGGAGAGTGGGGAATAGAAAGCCGAACCCAGTGGAAGTCCTGGGGGACATGTGATTGCATGAAGATTAAATGTTTACTTATTCTAAGAAATAAATTATAAATGTGGTATTGCAAAAAGAGAGCACAAATATGATATCCAACCATTTATTCAGTGACCACTGATAGAGCGCCGACAGCAGGCAAAGCCTTGTGAATACGGTATTTCACCAAAGACAGAACAGAAGGTTCCTCTCCACCAGACCTTCCAATCAAGGAGGGAAAAATAAGACATAAACGCAGTCAGCTGTAATGCAAAATAGAATGTGCCCAGAGACATAAGACAGGGATGAATAATTTATACATAATATAGGTCAGGAAAGAGGGATCTGTGCTGGGCAAATATATCCAAGAATTATTCATGGACAGAGTAGTATTTAAGATAAGCCTTTAAGGATGAGAGAACTTCATCTGGCAGAGAAGGAAAGAGGAGGAGGAGCAGCTGGGCAGAGCTGGAGAAGCCAAGGTCCGGCAGGGGAGAGGGGATGACTCCTTGGTGTCACTCACAGCACAGATTCTCCGTGCATGCAAAGCTTCCTGCACGTAACCTCCCAGTCTCGCTACAGCCAGAGCCTCTGCAACCCTCTTCCACATGAGCCTTCCGGGTTAGGAAACAGAGGCTGCGGACTCTCAGGCTGCACCTGCTGGCACCAAGGGCACATGACTTCACACCTGTCTCTGGAAAGCCAGACAGGAATGAGTCAAGGAAAGAAGCAAGATCAGCCCAGACCTCAAAACCTGAGCTAGAGAGCTTGCCTCTTGCTGGGAAGGGGCAGCGAGACAGAAGCTCAGGGAGGCAAGGTCTCCAAGCGCGAGGGTGCAAGCCAACAGGTAGAGCCAAACCAAGACGGAAGGAAAAACGGGGATGTGAAAGAGTCCGCAGAAACAGAATCAGTCAAATCTGGACATACAAACTGAGAGAGAAAAAATATGTTAATTGGGACTCTCTAGATTTTAATCCTGATCTATGAAAAATCATGATGGGGGGTATAGGGGAAAGTAATGCAGTGTTAGATATATTTCTTGAGTATATATTGGCACAGATTATCCAAGATCGAATTCATGGTCCCCAGTTAGCCATGGCAATGGGTGACCGAGACAGAATAACTCTGAATGGGGAAAGTAGAGAAAGACGGCAAGGAACCAGAGAGCAGAGTCACAGACTCCGCAGCCCCGGGTACCATGACTGCAACAACTACACCCTTCCCTCCGACACAACAGGAGCTCCTCGGCCCATATCAACAGGCCTTCTTTTCAAATAAATCCAGCTTTTTTTTCTTACAAAATAATGTGTTTAATTCAACTTTTACTATAAGCATTAAAATCACAAAACTTTCACGTTTGTTTTTAACATAATGACACACACACATGTCTCCAGTGAGTGGCAAGTCAGGACTAATCTACAAGGATACTTCAAAAAAGCTCACAGAGGGGCCCGGCGCGATAGCATAGTGATTAAAGTCCTCGCCTTGCACGCGCCGGGATCCCATGTGGTCGCCGGACGGCCCAGAGGCCTTGGGACCCTGCACCCGTGTGGGAGACCCAGAAGAACTCCTGGCTCCTGGCTTTGGATCGGCACAGCACTGGCCGTTGCAGTCACTTGGGGAGTGAATCATCGGATGGAAGATCTTCCTCTCTGTCTCTCCTTCTCTCTGCATATCTGACTTCCCAATGAAAGATAAATCTTAAAAAAAAAAAAAAAAACCTCACAGAAAACTTGGGATATCTTTTGATTCCAATGCTCGTGAGTTTTTTTTTTTTATGGACCCACATGTTATCGTGATTAGTGTAGAACAGAAATGAAGGGAGAGAACCTTTACAGGATGCTTCTGTATGTCATATTAAACCTATAATTCAGGGAGTACCGTTTCTATACTTAGAAACGAAGCCCTTTTCTTATGATTGGAACATCTGATATTTAAATACAGAGATGTTTAAAAGTATAGCCCTAATATTCCTAAGATTCTACACTAATGTAGTCTTAAGCAATACCTCTCTCATTACTTCATTAAAGCCAAAGGCAACTGCAGCCAGGAAACAAGTGTTTACTGCCACCTGGTGGAAGTTTTAACCATGTCCAAACAAGTAAGTCAGAATGAAAGAGCAACATGAAGTTAGGCTGTATTGCTTGGCGTATCATGTTTAGGAATGGATCACCAGAAGTTATTCCTTGATTAAGTTGCAAAATAGGAGAATATGGGAAGCAGC